CACTCTGCTCACACACTGCTCACACACATGCACTCACTGCTCACACACTCACTGCTCACACACACACTGCTCACTCACTGCTCACACACTCACTGCTCACACACACACTGCTCACTCACTGCTCACACACACTCTGCTCATACACTCACTATTCACACTCACTGCTCACACACTCACTGCTCACACACACACTGCTCACTCACTGCTCACACACACTCTGCTCATACACTCACTATTCACACTCACTGCTCACACACTCACTGCTCACACACACACTGCTCACTCACTGCTCACACACACTCTGCTCATACACTCACTATTCACACTCACTGCTCACACTCACTGCTCTCACACTCACTGCTCTCACACTCACTGCTCTCACACTCACTGCTCACACACTCACTGCTCTCACACTCACTATTCACACTCACTGCTCACACTCACTGCTCTCACACTCACTGCTCACTCACTGCTCACACACACACTGCTCATACACTCACTATTCACACTCACTGCTCACACACTCACTGCTCACCCCCCACACCCCCCTCCACACACCCTCACACACACCCTCACACCCTCACACACCCTCACACACCCACACCCCCTCACACACCCCCACACACACACACACACTCATACACTCACACAGAGACCAAGCAAGGCAGCCAGTACACCTTCAGCAGCATCGAGAGGTCAGACCCCCCCTCACACACACCCTCACACACCCACACACACACCCTCACACACCCTCACACCCTCACACACCCCCACACACACACACACACACACACCCATACACTCACACAGAGACCAAGCAAGGCAGCCAGTACACCTTCAGCAGCATCGAGAGGTCAGACCCCCCCCCACACCCCCTCACACACACCCTCACACACACCCTCACACACCCTCACACACCCTCACACACCCCCACACACACACACACCCCCACACAGACACACACACTCATACACTCACACAGAGACCAAGCAAGGCAGCCAGTACACCTTCAGCAGCATCGAGAGGTCAGACCCCCCCCCCACACACCCTCAAACACACCCTCACACACACCCACACACACACCCTCACACCCCCCCCACACACACACACACACCCTCACACACCCCCACACACACTCACGCTCACACACACACAGACACACACACACAGACACTTACACACATACACAGAGTGTGTGTGTAAAGCACTAATGTGTGTGTGGGTGTGTAGTGCACTATGTGTGTGTGTAAAGTACTAGTGTGTGTGTGTAATGCACTAGTGTGTGTGTGTGTGTGTGTGTAAAGCACTAATGTGTGAGTGTGTGTGTGTGACAGGGAGGAGTACGGGAAGCTGTTTGATTTTGTCAACGCCAAAAAGCTCAACATCAAAAACCGCGGCATTAAGGAGGTGAGTGTGTAAATAGTGAGTGTGTGAGCAGTGAGTGTGTGAGCAGTGAGTGTGAATAGTGAGTGTATGAGCAGTGTGTGTGTGAGCAGTGAGTGAGCAGTGAGTGTGAGAGCAGTGAGTGTGAGCAGTGAGTGTGAATAGTGAGTGTGAGAGCAGTGAGTGTGTGAGCAGTGAGTGTGAGAGCAGTGAGTGTGAGAGCAGTGAGTGTGAGAGCAGTGAGTGTGAGCAGTGAGTGTGAATAGTGAGTGTATGAGCAGAGTGTGTGTGAGCAGTGAGTGAGCAGTGTGTGTGTGAGCAGTGAGTGTGTGAGCAGTGAGTGTGAATAGTGAGTGTATGAGCAGAGTGTGTGTGAGCAGTGAGTGAGCAGTGTGTGTGTGAGCAGTGAGTGTGTGAGCAGTGAGTGTGAATAGTGAGTGTATGAGCAGAGTGTGTGTGAGCAGTGAGTGAGCAGTGTGTGTGTGAGCAGTGAGTGTGTGAGCACTGAGTGAGCAGTGTGTGTGTGAGCAGTGAGTGTGTGAGCAGTGAGTGAGCAGAGTGTGTGTGAGCAGAGTGTGTGTGAGCAGTGAGTGTGTGAGCAGTGAGTGTTAGTGAGCAGTGTG